CGCCAGAATGAAAGGGGACAACTCATATCGAGTTATACTTATTATAAAACCCGGGTTGTTTGTGTGTGTGTGTGTCTGTGTTTGTTTATATATGGGATTGGATTTCCTACATTTTTTAACTGATTTCAACAAAACTTCACTTTTTTTTGGCAGGTAGTGTTTTTTATTGTCTTGCATACTTTTTTCTTTATTTTTACATTCAGAATGCTTTAAATATTCCATTTACAAGACAATTGTTTATAATAAAATTCTATTCAATCGGTAGACTCATAACGATTGAAAACAATGTTTTTGTTTGAGTTTGGGTTTGACCAATTCGTAAAAAAAAAAAAAATAATTAAAACATGCGTGTCCGTCAACCTTAAACAATAATCTTTGTCAATTTTACTTTTCAGTCTTTATGATGGTCGATACTTGATCGATCTTTTACTGTTACATCCCCGGGCAACGCCGGGCTCTACTGCTAGTATATATATATATGTACTATCCTGGTACAATAAAAGCTTATAAATGTCAAGATCAATAATGTTGTTGATTCTTTTGGGGATTTTATCAAGGATATTTCGCACTTCCTCCTCCCTCACTCTTTCTTTCTCTCTCTCCTCTCTCTCTCTCTCTCTATATATATATATATATATATATATATATATTATGTGTTCCCTTCTGCGCAGAATATAAAGAATTAATATATATATATATATATATATATATATGGGAGAGAGAGAGAGAGAGAGAGAGAGAGAGAGAGAATCTGAATAATGTTTTGGTACCAAAGAATAAATAAATAGATATGAATAGACACAATTCTGTGTTCCTTTTTTTTTCTCTTTTTTTCCCGTTTACGAACCCAGGTAACTTTTATGGGAATTTACCCACGCAAGCATTGACTCTACCAGCTATAAATAGGAGCAGGTACTGCCTTTTGGAGAGGGAAGTTTCCAGCTGTCAACTCTGACAGTCGAACCGAACATTCTTGCTGTAACACTCTCATTTGTATATGTTTGTATTACTGTTTTCTGTTAATATATTTGTTTAACTCAATTTCTCTCTTGCGTCTTTATTTCTGGCCTCTAACAAGGCCACAACAGTAACCTTTCGACCAATACTTCTTCAAGGGCTGATCGTTGTCAGAACTGGCGTAATGAAATGGGTCTGCAAATATGCGGAACCTGGAGATGAAATTGGAACACGTCTAAAACAAATTTACGACTGAAATAAATACGAAGATTTGAGACCAAATATAAATGAACCAACAGAAAAGAGTCTCTCACTAACCTCCATATAAGTGAAGGAACCTTAAAAAGTTCTTCTGTCTGCAAAGAGATACCTGTTGCAGTTTATGGTAAACGGCTTGTAAGACTTGCAGATGCTGCTTAGACCTACCCATATGCAAAATAAAGAATGAATCCGTCGTGAAACACGATGAACATCTCAAATTCTCTAATAGTTGCTGCCCGATTGCAGAGTTTGTACAGAGTGTGATACTTAAGTATGATCACTTGAATGTAATCTATTTAGAAACGTGTTGACCCAATCTCGTTTCCAGTCTAAGTCATTCCGTCTTTTGAACTCAGCCTCACACTTTAACCTGTAGACTAGGGACATAGGACAATTGGTCTTTGGTCAAGGAAGGACACAATGGATACGTGCCAAAAACAACACGTAATTTGTCCGAAAAATGGTAACAGAGACAGATTTAGAAACTATGTCGGTTAGAACGCTACACTTTCTACGAAATCAAGGCAATTTTAGATAGGTCCGACACAGATTAGGGGATATACTATACTCTCTTTCGCTGAATTTTACGATCAATAATATTGGTTGGATAACCGTTATTAATAAGAATATAACGTATTTTTTAAACTCTTATTGAAAAGTACAAGGAGAACAAATCATTAAGGCCCGATGGATTAAACTTTTGATTAAATTATTTTTTATAAAAAGAAAAAATGAGCACAAAATTGTGTTTATTCAAATATTATTCATTACAAATAGAATACTAAGTTTTTCTGGGTTTCTTAATAAATAATAATTATTTTTTTTAAATCTCTCCGGTAATTTAATTTAAATCTCTTGGGAAATTATATTAGAAACTTTTACTATTTAACGATAAATTCTAAATCTTTCGCTGAGTTCTGAATATTTTCTCAAATATTTTTAACCAAATAGTATTTTAAGATAAAGTTATAAAAGTTTGTTAAATGGACTATATATGCGTCAGATTCTTAGCCAATAAGTGACACAGACAGTGTTGCTTAACTCCCATTGACTTAACAAGATTTTCATTCAACCTCAAAATCAAAACGCAATGTCATATTAAATCAGGTCAGCTCAAATCTTAGTGTCTGTTGAGAATAAATCCTCGGATCTTTTTCCTGCTTCCCCACCACCTCCGCCACCATTACATGTTCATAAATTTTCAAATCTTTCCTTATCTTTTCCACTCTCTCCGTCTCCCTGAATACGATATCTGTGTCACTTGAATTTTAACCTGGAATGTTTTTTGTCGTTTGTATTTAGTTTGCAGGACTGAAAAATTGAAAGCTATTTTTATAGCTTTCATGAAATAAAGATTATTAGCGATTGTATCTAAGTGTTTGATATTAATTAATTAATTAACAAATATTCATATCTATATATCTATCTATCTATCTATCTATCTATCTATATATATATATATATATATATATATATATATATATATATATATATATATATATATATATTGCATATTTAGGCAGCAATTTTTCATTAATACATATTGAAAACACAACTATACTTAAACATGAAAACAATAAAGAAAAACTAAAAATTCTTGAAGCTATATACATAAAATAGTTGAAACCTAACCTGAACAAAATAAAAACTACGGAATCTCCACAAATATTCTTAAATGCCTATAATTGATAACAGAAGTCATTGTTTTATACGAACGGTTTCCCATACTTAATACTTCTCGTTTTAACTCTCGCTCGGTCATGTGTGACTTCACGAGCTGTGACGTGTTTCCGCTTCCGCGTCTCATATACACGTTTTAGTCGTTGCTTGCAAATTTTTCATGCAACAAAAACAGACTATCATTATTGTTCCGTGTATTGGTTGATATATTGAAAAGTAATTGTCATCTTTGATAATGGTTTATGTAAGCCGAAGGCTTAGATTGGATTTAAACATGTATCAATATGGCGATTTCCTTTCGTCCTTCAATGATAATGTTATTAAGCTTATCAGACAATATGAAAGGAACTTACTTAAAATAAATACAAACTTGTCTATATTATTTAATGAAGTCAGTATTAATATATATATATATATATATATATATATATATATATATCAGAAGAAAGACTATATATATATATATATATATATATATATATATATATATATATATATATAATGACTCTTCCTTCTTAGACGACTCATCTGCACATGGTTCGGCAATAGGCTAACTACTACCGAATATGTACGTAGTTTTTTTTCTGTTTTGCACAGAGCCCGGTCTGCTCACCACGTGTGTGTTCTTGAAGTGGTGTATATTAAGTTACATTAACCGGTTCTGTTCGGAGGGTCCTGTATCAGAATGTTTTCCCTTTTATACTCAGTTGAAACTGTTTATTACTAATTTTAACCTTGAATTATTTACTATTAAATATTTTCATTTAATCGTGTTCCAAAGTTGCCCTACTCATTTAATGTATTGCTAGGTAAATTCTAAATCTTTCACTGAGTTCTGAAATTTTTTTTAAATATCCTTAACCAAACAATTTTTTAAAAAGTTTTTTGGGTTTTTTTAAATTGAATATATATGCGTCAGATAAGCCAATAAGTGACAAAGACAGTGTTTCTTAACTCCAATTAACATAACAAGATTTTGATTCATCCTCTAAATCAAAACGTAACATTGCGTCATATTCATCGTAGATAGATTTTACTAAAAGGAACGATTAATTAGCTTATCTTCATACCCTGCCTGGTGGCAAACGCTGCTGGTGACACCAGGGGTGGCAGTCCCGCCATAGCCACTGAAACCGTGATATCACCCCTGGTCGGCAGCTGATGAAGACAGGATATCACACGTGCTAACACATGTTATATGTTACAAAAAAAATTAAATTAATTAAAATAAAAAAAATCAAATTAAAACCTTACATTCTGCTGAGAATAAATCCTCAGGTCATCATTCTCCCACTCCCATACACCACCACTCTCTCTCTCTCTCTCTCTCTCTCTCTCTCTCTCTCTCTCTCTGTCTCTGTCTGTCTGTCTGTCTGTCTCTCTCTCTCTGTCTCTCTGTCTCTCTGTCCCTCTCTTTCCTCTATACAATATCCATATATCTTGAGTTTAAAATGGAATAATTTATTTACGTTTTTATTTGGTTTGCAGGTCAGAAAGATTGAAGGCTCTTTCTATAGCTTTCATGAAATAACGATTATTAACTAAGGTATTTTAATTGTTGATATTCATTAAATAAAAAAAATATATAGATATATGTCTGTGTGTGTGCGTGTGTGTGTGTGTGAGTGTTTGTATAGATAAACATATATATATATATATACATATATATAAATATATGTATGTGTCTATGCGTTTGTGTTGTGTGTGTTTGCATAGATAAATATATATATATATATATATATATGTGCAGATAAATATATGTTTGTGTGAGTGTTTGGGTATATAAATATATATATATATATATATATATATATATATATATCTGTGCGTCTGTGTCGTGTGTATATAAATATATATGTGTGTGTGTTCGTGTTGTGTGCGTGTTTATATAGATAAATATATATGCATATAAATATATACGTGTGCGTGAGATGTGTGTTTTTGTATAGATAAATATATATATATATATATATATCTGTGTGTGTGTATGTATATATATAATAATATATATGTGTGTGTGTTTGTGTCATGTGTGTTTGTTTATATATATATATATATATATATATATATATACAGACTGAAAATAGGTCGATATGTACAGGTTAAGAATAGATAGATATTAACAGTGTGATTAACAGATAGATATGAATAGACTGAGATAGATAGATAGATAGATAGATAGATAGATAGATAGATAGATAGATAGATATGAAATGACTGTGATAGATACGAGCAGACTGAAAATAGATAGATATGAACAAAACTAGAATAGATACATAGATATTAACAGTTTGATTAATAGATAGATATGAATAGTCTGAAATAGATAAGATAGATAGATAGATAGATAGATAGATAGACTGTTAAATTTTCTCCTTTCCTCATAGTTTCAAGCAACATCCTTATAGCTACTGATTTCCGTTTCACCGTCATTTTCACTTACATCGTTGATGAATTTATTTTAAACAATTTCATGACACTCTCATGAGCATAATTGTAATCCTGTGCGTGCCTGAAGAGGAAACAACCTCAAATGGAATATCTATTTCCATTTATAATAGTACTATTCTTAGTTGATGTTTGTGCTCTCGGCACAAAATGAAAGGAAATTCTTGCAGAGCATAACGAAATTGATGCATCGAAGTCGTACTGCTTACATTAATTTCAGACCACAGGCAAATATTTTTTTTCCTATTTTAAAATGTCGTTTCTCTTCAGGACGTTCGCGATCATGGTTCTCCTTAACTTCCTGTCCTTTGTAATTCTTATCAATATTTGACTTTTTGTAATCACTACTAGTGTCACTTCTTACAATCAATTACACAAGCTCATTGGCGAAGTTACTCACTCCTTTCTTATTCCTCTTGTCTTTAGGCTGTCTTGTGAGTGTTAAATATTCTAAACCTTCCTATGTATCCTAGAATTTTCTATTCCCGCTTTCTGATTCTAAATATATCTCCTTTTAGTTACCATTTTACTTAAAACTACGCCATTGCTCAAATATTCAGTCAATGGTTTTCTCAGCATCCTACTCAATTTTCTTCTTCATTTGTGATGAGAATGTCCAAAATTCACTGCCATATTTTAAAACGGTTAGATAATACATAACACACCAGTATTATTTTCTTTGTGTGTAACGAAATTTTCCTTTTACATTTTACTTTGCTTAGTTTTTGGAAGGCATTCTTCCCGTTTCCAATTAAACAGGAAATCGAAAATTACTGTATTGATTCTATCAACTTTCGAAATCTTGGTTAAGAAAACGCCTTCCCCGGTCTGTTACAATTTTGTGTTCTCCCTAAAAACGGAAAAGAGAACTTTTTCTTTTTTGCTGTGAGACATTCCGTGGCTGAGCGGTTGAGCACACTGGATTAAAAAAAAAAATTATGATTACACCAACAAAGAAGGACGCTGCTTCGTTCACTGGCGGGTTTCACATTTTCTTTACTAAGGTTTCCCTAATATACAGGCTGATAGAAACAGTTTTATAAATACAAATGGAAGTCTATTTTAAATGGGGATATCCATTGTGACATCTTTGGAATTAATCTACAGTGCTGTTCGATAAAAGTGACTCACCTGATTTTTTTTTACTTAAATTCTTTTCGCCTATTGTTTTTGGGGTCAAACTAATTTTTAATCTTACTAATATAAAGACCCCTTCCCGACCACCTAGTAAAAGATTTTACTCACCCTAATGTATTCTATTGATAATTATAATTTTGGATATAAATGAGATTTAGGGAAAAACTCCGTGCAAAAAAAGTGACTCACTTATTTCCTGCAACTAGTAATTAATAGAAACATAACCGAACAGCTTTAAATAAAGAATAATAGAGGTATAATCTATTTATAATGGGTAATATAGTTCGAAATATTTAATAATCTATGGGTCCTCCTTTATTTTGAATAACCTTTTCAACCCTTTTTTGCATTAAAATTGATTAGGTTCTGGCAAATCTCATCACCAAGCATTGAATTTCATTAGGATATGAAATTCACAATCAAATCCTCTTTCCCGAGAGCTCCATAAGTCTTCTATGGGGTTGAGGTCAGGAGATTGGGGCGACCATGTCATAACACTCACCTGCTTCTCATCAAAGTATTCCTTCATCAATTTTGATTTGTGACATAGATCATTATCCTGCATAAAAATGAGCTTGGTGGGGTCGATTTGCACCCTTTCAGCAGAAGGGAGCAGACAAGATTCTAAAATTCTCTTGTACTGCTCGCTCCTGAGGGTCTTTTCAATAGGTTTTAAGAAACCAGTTCCATGAAAACAAAGCATCTCCAGAACATTATACTGAACGGGTGCTTGACAGTACTTACTATTAAATTCAAAGAGCTTTCAAAGCTTCTTCGGATTTTAGATAGCTCATCCTTTGAATTTAGCTCAACTTTCGTTTCATCGGAGAAGAGAACATTTAGTAAAAAAAAATCAGGTGAGTCATTTTTATCGAACAGCACTGTAGGTATATATATTACAGTTTTATCGGAATTGTATCCTCTATAATAAGCAGATGATCATGGCATGCAGTTATCTAAAGACATTATGTGAAAAGAGTATACTGAATGAATTTCTGAGGCTATGAAATTCGGTTGACACTGCTCTGTGCTTGACAATTTTCTCCGTTAGAAACTCTCTTACATATTTGTAAATCTACCATTTTACCTTGATGCTGCGTCATCTGGTCTGTTGGTTCAGCTACATATTTAAAGATTCTTGATAAAATGCAAAAAAGAATCTGCCGTGTTATTGGTTTTAACTTGGCATATTCTTCAGTCTGTGATGTAAATTCCCTCTGCTTTTTCTATAAATACATTCATTGTAATTGTACTGAAGAACCTTACGCTACGATACCCAGACTTTATTAATTTAACTGTAGTATTTGATCGACGGCAAGCTCTCATCATTTTACATTTTTTGCTCAAGCCTCTAGAAATGTAACCGTCGGGTTTTATGATAACATTTACCCCTGTTCATTTATAAGGCAAGTCAACGATTTCGTAATAAAACTGATATGAACAAGAAATAGACAAGCATCTTCTATATCCACTACGCCACCGACCCGAAAGAGATTAGTGGTGTATTTTTTAGAATCTTTTATATTCGATGGCTTTGATATTTGGTTACGATGGCGAGTTCGTGTCTGCTGCTAGTTTCTGATATGCGGTCGTCGGATCTGATAAGATATTTTCATTTATTGCTCCTCGGAAATCCCAGCGCATCTCCTTTACATGCAGTATTGTCCTTCATTTCGACCTGAAAACGCCGAAGCTAATGCATGATAATGCAATGAGTTGTCACTTTAAACAGCATTTCTACTTTCTTCCATCATCTCTACTTTGTTTCGGATAATATTCTACATTCTACTAACAGGGACGTATATATATATATATATATATATATATATATATATATTATAAATTAACTAGTTTAAAATATGATTTTTTTCGCTACACAGTAATAACCTTGTTTCAAAAATGGAAGCAAAAGACTTCAGATTTAATTTTGTAATTAAATTAAAAACATTAATTTCATTTCATCTTCAAGCTAATATTGGACTTATTTTTTTAAATTTACTGAGTTTTAAATGTTTGCTGAGAGCGCGTTACCTAGCGTGATCAACAGTCTGTACAGGGCCAGCACGATCAAATGCTCGCTCACGATGATTTTTGACTTCGTGCTAGCACAAATACTTCCGTCTCCCTAATTTCACTCACAAGGTTTGGGTCAACCCGTGTTATGGTTTTCCAGCACTTTCCAAAGATGCCGCATCAAGAAGTTATCTTGCTGACAAATCCGTTATGGTGAGATTCGAACCCGGGTTTCGTAGTCGGCAAGCGAACGTTATGCATATGCACTAATTATTTAAATATCCTTATTACCCAAAGAGGCACGGTGGAGTAATGGATAGCAGCTCAGACTGAAGATTCGGAGATCCGATTTCGAATTACAGTCGCGATCATTACGTGCTTACGATAAGTTATGAATCTAAAGTTATGAATTCTAAAGCTATGACGAAAGAGCAGGTTAGCTAGAGTGGCAACCGGACAAGGAAAAGAAAACAGCTTTGAATTCAAAACCAGACTGCAGTGGTGTACATGAGACCTAATGGTTTAAGGGTCTCGTGTATGCGTGTGTCTAGCAGATTTGTTGCCCCTACGATCCTAGCGGGTTATGGAACTCATGTAGCCGTATGCCTAACAGATCTGTTCCCCCTACAACCATAGTGGGTTACGCTGCTCCTGTACGCGACTGTTTGGCAGATTTTTTTGCCTCTGCGATTCTAGTTGGTTACAGTTTTCGTATACGCGTCTGTCTAGCGGATTAGTTGCCCCTACCAACCTAATGGGTTACGGGTCTCGAGTATACATGCGTCTAGCGGATTAGTTGCTCCTAAGACTTAGTCGGTTACGGTTTACGTGTATACGTCTGTCTAGCAGATTAGTTGCCCCTAAAACCTTAGTCGATTACGGTTCTCGGGTATGCGTATGTCTAGCAGATTACTTACCCCTAACAACCTAATGGACTACGGGTCTCAGGTATGCTCGCGTCTAGCAGATTTAATGCCCCAACGAGCTTAATGGATTGCACTTCCCGTCTACCTGTGTATTTAACTGATCTATTGCTATCTGAAGGCACTGTTATATCTATGTGAACATATTTATGAGGGAATGTTAAAAAATCCTCCGCATTCTTGTCTTGCCTAACGATACCGTTATCTTTAATCACAATTTTTGATCGACTAAACTTTATACAGACTGCAACGGAAATACCTCTACAAAATACCACTTACTGTTTTACCTTTATGAATGAAGTATTTCTGAGAGTAGAGAGTGTTATATTTGAAAAAAGAGCTGTTCATTCCGACATCCAGTGTAAAACATATATAGTCATTTCTTTTCATAGTAAAGAGCGTACTTGTCCCAGTATCGCAAGTCCGAAGCCATCTGAAGTCCCAAAATCCTGTAGGGCCACCCAGGGTCGTAAAGTCGAGGTGTAAGGACCAAACACAGCACGACCAACCCCCGAAGAACCCAAACGGCGGAATAGCCAAAGATCTACACGATTTCAAAAGCCAAACCGGTGGAGCCAGTCGGGTTGACGTAAGGAAAGCAAACCAAACATTCCACAGTGTGACGCTTACCCGATATCGCCTGTCTCAATCCCATTTCCGCTGCGAGGGAGATGTTTCTGATCAAATGTGTAGGTTTTTCCACTAGCGCATAGTTGTCCACCAAAACAAAATTCCCGCTAATTGTCTTGTCAAACTATCTTTGATTCACAGCCATCTCCGATACTGACACCAGGGGACTGAAAGCTAATACCCAGTGTAAAATATATATGGCCGTTCCTTGTCATGGTAGAGGGCTTATTTGCTCTAGTGGTTCCAAGAGTGAAGCCGTCTGGAGTTCCATGGCGGTAAGGTCAAAGAGGAAGAATCAGACCGAACGCGGCCAAATCCTATAAGACCCCAAACGGCGGAATAGGCAACGATATACACGATTTCAAAAGCCAGTCGGGTTGGTGTAAGGAAGGCAAGCCAAACATCCCACAGCGTGATGCTTACCCGATATCGCCTGTCTCAATCCCATTTCAACCGCAAGGGAGATGTTTCTGATCAAATGTGTAGGTTTCTCCACTAGCACATAGTTGTCCACCAAAACAAAATTCAAACGAATGGCCTCGTCAAACTATCTTTGATTCACAGCCATCTCCGCTACTGCCAATAGAGAAGAGAAAGGTAATATCCAGTGTAAAATATATATGTCCGTTCCTTGTCATGGTAGAAGGCTTATTTTTTCTAGTGGTTCCAAGAGTGAAGCCGTCTGGAGTTGCAACCTGTAGGGCTCCCCGGGGAGGTAAGGTCAAAGAGGAAAGACCAGGCCGAACTCCACCAATCCACGAAGAATCCATACGCGATCTCAGCAGCTAAACCGGCGGAAGAGGGCAGTGCCAGTCGGGTTGGCGTAAAGAAGGCAGACCAAACATCCCACAGCCTGATGCTTACCCGATATCGCTTGTCTCAATCCCATTTCCGCTGCGAGTGAGATGTTTATGGTCAAATGTATAGGTTTCTCTACTAGCGCATAGATGTCCACCAAAACCAAATTCACGGGAATAGAGAGAGAAAGAGAGAGAGAGAGAGAGAGAGAGAGAGAGACTAGATGTAGGAGGTATTTCCGCCGCACCTTATATTTCTGTCTGACTTTCGACAACAGGACAAACGCGTTTAAAAAACTGTTCACTCTGATATCGAGTGTAAAATATATATGGTCATTCCATGTCGTAGCAGAGACCTTACTTGTCCCAGTATCGCTAGTCCGAGTGATCCCAATAGGGAAGCCGGCTAGAGTTCTAACTCCTGCAGGGCTATCCATGACAGTAAGTTTGAAGAGGAAGTACCAGACTTAAATGAGACCAAACACCCCAACGTTTGAATAGGCAAAGATCTACACGACCTCAACGGCAAAACCGCGAAAAATGGAAGGCTAGGTCGGTCTGGAGTAACCAAGGCGGGCCTTGAGAGGCCGAGTATCCGACAGACCGATGCAATCAGGTTTACATAACTCACCTATCTCAATCTCCTTTGAGTCGCGAGGCAGGCGCTTCGTGTCAAGTACGTGGGCTTCTCCGTCGCGCAGAGCTGTCTACCAAAACCAAATTCACGCGAATGGCCTCGTCAAACTCTCTTCGATTCACAGCCATCTCCGCCTCTACCACCAGAAAAGAGAAAGAGAATAGAGAGAGAGAGAGAGAGAGAGAGAGAGAGAGAGAGACTAGATGTAGGAGGTATTTCTGCCGCACCTTGTATTTCTGTCTGACTTTCGAGAACAGGACAAACGCGTTTAAAAAAGAAGAAATAACGCAATGGTAGATTATGATAGATGATACAGAATTGTTTTTAAATGAGAGAACGGCACAGAAAAGAAAGGTTAGATTGCAATTACGAATGACAAGATACATTTTGATCCTGGCAATGCCGGGTTTCCATCCTTATTTTTCTATTAATAAATGTGATCTTTGATTTGCTGAGATAGCTCCGTCTCCGCTAAGACATTAAAAGGGGGGAAAAAACAAAACAAAACAGATGCCACAATTGATTTTTATATCTTTGACCATTTCCTTGTTTCTGCTTGGTCGAACGCGCATGCGCAGTGATGAAGGATTTTCAGATTAAAGATTCTGTCCAATAAAACAGAAGAAAATATTTAAAAACAACAAAATAATATACGGACCGAAAAAAAAAACAGGCATATATTTCGGAAATAGACTTTTCGCAATTTTTTTTTTCTTCCATTTTATATTTTTGTCTTCTTTAACTGACAGGATTGTCATTCTCTTAACTGTCCATTCATCAAGACGTGGTGATGATATTAATATATATATATATATATATATATATATATGCGTGTACGTATGTATGTATTTTGTGTATATGTTTGCTCGTGCTTTAAGAGGGTTAGTGTATGTGTATATATATATATATATATATATATATATATATATATATATATATATATATATATATATATATATATATATTTGTGCGTGTGTGTACTCATACTTATTTATACAGAATAATACAGCTATTTATACATGTATTTTTATGTATATATTTATTTTGTATTTTATATATATATATATATATATATATATATATATATATATATATATATATATATATATATATATATATATATATATATATATGTGTGTGTGTGTGTATATATATATATATATATATATATATACACAGTTACGCCTCGATTAGTGCGGTTAATGTGCACATTAAAACAGGCACTAATCGAAAACGCAATAATCGAATATAAACATTAACTGACAGACAAAATAGTTGACCATTTTCCATATTTAGATCTTAGAAAAGTTTAGAAAATTTTTAATTAATCAGTAGCTATTAAAAAATAATTTTTCAATTATCATGATTAAACTGCCCGCACTAATCGAGTATTATTTATGCACTAAGAGAGTTTTCGTATAAAAGATCTCAGCCCACCAATCGAAATGCATATATGTCTGTCATGGTGTCTGTGTGTATGTATCTGTGCGTCTGTTTGTGTGTATGTATGTGTGCGATTGTGTGTCAAAATTTCAGATAGAGTATGTCTGTAAAAGGAGAATATTATTAAGAACAAAAGGAAAATTTATCTCAGCCGACGCCTTTAGTCTCTGAGATAATTCTTTCCCATTTTTCTTTTTTCATATGTGTCTGTATGTGTTTGTGTGTGTGTGTGTTTGTGTGTGAAGATATATATATATATATATATATATATATATATATATATATATTTATATTTTAATTTTTGGCGGGAAGGATGGCTGGAATTTCTCAATCGGAGCAGCTATTCAACTGTGCCTATATATATACATATATACACACATATATATATATATACATATATATCAGAAGAAAGACTCATTATATATATATATATATATATATATATATATATATATATATATATATATATATATATACACACGTGGGTGTTAGTAGGATGTAGAATAGTATCTGAAACAAAAGAGATGTTGTTAAAAAGTAGAAAAGATTTTTTTTTAATGACAACGCGTTTCACCCATGTGCGTGAGGTTTGGCGTTTTCAGGTCGGAGTGAAAGGCAAGGACAACAGTCTGAACAATGAAAATAGTCTAAATAATTATAATAACTCATCTCAGAAATATAGACAGATGGAAAAGGTTTCACTAATTTTGTAATCTCACAATTCTCCGCAATAAAGATAAGACCAGGACCTTACATAATATCACTGATCATCGTACGCTTATATGCACGTGTGTACAAAGCCGCGCTTATAACTCCTATTCTGTTCTCTTTCTTTTTATTTTCTCAGTTTCGGCCTTGAGTATCACAGAAAATCTAATTTCATTTAATAGTTTGCTTGCTTAGTGACATTTTAAAATATTAAGTAATCTTTAAAAAAAACACACACACACAATATAAATGCAGAGACAATCTGCTGTTTACCTGAACCTTGTAATTTTATTGTCCTTTCTCCTTGCTAAAGCCTTCCTATTCTCTTTCACTGGCGGTAACCCCTTGCGTCTTAGTGGCATTTTTATTGTCCTTTCTCCTAATTAAAGTCTTCTCATTCTTTTTCACTCCCAGTTACCCCTTGCGTTTAGTGGCATTATCGCCATCTTCTGTCTTCCTGAAACATTTTCTTTTATTGTCCTTTCTCCTAATTAAAGTCTTCTCTTTCTTTTTCACTCCCAGTTACCCCTTGCGTCTTAGTGGCATTATCGCCATCTTCTGTCTTCCTGAAACCTTTTCTTTTATTGTCCTTTCTCCTAATTAAAGTCTTCTCATTCTTTTTTACTCCCAGTAACCCCATTGCGTCTTCGTGGCATCATCGCCATCTTCTGTCTTTCTGAAACCTGTTCTTTTATTGTCCTTTCTCCTCACTAAAGTCTTCTCTTTCTTTTTCACTCCCAGTTACCCCTTGCGTCTTAGTGGCATTATCGCGATCTTCTGTCTTCCTGAAACATTTTCTTTTATTGTCCTTTCTCCTAATTAAAGTCTTCTCTTTCTCTTTCCCTCCCAGTTACCCCTTGCGTCTTAGTGGCATCATCGCCATCTTCTGTCTTCCTGAAACCTGTTCTTTTATTGTCCTTTTCTCCTCACTAAAGTCTACTCATTCTCTTTCACTCCCAGTAACACCGTGCGTCACTTTATCGCCTTGCATGCGATGAATTGATGCAGTTTTCAAGGGAAATACAAAAAATATATACACTATTTACATTATTCGGACTTATTGCTATTAGGAATCCAGACGGACATGAACAATCTAGTTCTGCGTAGGACGATAAACTACATCTGGCAGCAAGACCTCTGATCGGGAGATTCGAGATTTTGAGGAGCGTGGAACCATTTCTTAATTGCTATTGTTCCCAGGACCATCCTGATCCAGGGTGGTAGCACCTATTACGGTCACAGCTATGGTTAAATAGTGAACATCCAAGCAAAAACAAAACACTATGAAAGTATAACAATACTAATATTATAGTACAATTACTAACAATACTCATTTATAGCAAAATGACCAGCAACCAATTTTATAATACAATTATTAATAATACATTTTATCTGTAGCTGAAGATATCCAATTGGGTTTAAAACATATCGAGTTGAAGCCATAAAATTGTGTTTAACATATTTAGATTTCGGCATTAATTAACCCATAGAGGTTGATATGTTGCTAAACAAAATCAACCAACCAAAATTGAAGGCATACAATTGCGTTCAAAATATATTTAATTGAAGCGATAAAATAGTGTGCAAAATATTTAGATTTTGGCATTAAATAACCCATAGATGTTGATATGCCGCTAAATAAAATCCAGCAACCAAAATTTTACGTATACAATTGTTTTCAAAATATATTTAATTGAAGCCATAAAATAGTGTCCAAGATATTTAGATTTCGGCATTAAATAACCCATAGAGGCGTTGATGTGCCACTAAACAAAATCGACCAGCGAAACAAACAATCTCTCGAAAAATGCGTCTCTTGCATAATATTTTAAGAAAATATTCCTATTTTTCTTTTTTGTCAGCATCTCTTCAGATCTTTGTGTATGTGCTGAAGTGTCCTTTGTTAAAAAAAAATCAATTTGTATTTTAAATCCAATTTTTATACCTGTTTGAAGCTTGTTTTTAATACGTACCATTTTCTTAATTTCATTTTTATTTTTATTTTCATAGACTCAAACATAAGAATCGCAGGAAAACCTTTGCGAAAATCGTTTATTTTATTTTCTTTATTTTTTTTTTCGAATCTTCATGGAAGTTACATTCAGTTGACATCATTTACACCCGGATTATTGTCTTCGCCTTTGTTGTTGTTCTTCTATGTTATGTGACCCTTCAGGACGTTGGCGATCATGGCTCTCCATGAATTTCTTGTCCTTTGATAGTTCTTAAGAAATTTGTCTTTTTGTTGTCTCTCACAGACCATTCTGCCAACCTTTTACTCTAGTTCCCTAAGTAGGTTATGTATTGTGCATTCAATCTCTCCCACGAGTATCAGATTTTCTAAGTCCTCTTTCCTCATTATATACCCAAAGATTATCAATCTGTTTCTGATGTTCAATGTAAATGTCCTTTTTGTTTCCATTTTCTCTAAAACTTCGTTGTTGCCAATGCAATCGGTCCATGGTATTGTTATATTCTCAGGTTGGCATTTTCAATCAGCACGAGAAAGACAATCGTTTCGGTTCGTCAAAGAAAGAATTCAACACAGAGAATTTTGTTTAACTATTTTTATTAATCATGTCGACATGTAAATTATCTAACTATCCAGTGTGGGACGCCCCCAACCCACCTCACTGGGGTGCAGTTTCGCACACGAAAGAAAACACGTCGACATCTCTTGACGGGTAAGATCCAACTCACTGAAAAGCTTTCGGCTATCACGTTCCCATGTTAGTTCAGGCAATCAAAATAGACTTCCTTATTATGGCCACGAATGTCAAACTCCAAAAGTCGGAGCTGAGATACACTTCCTCTAAAAATAATAGTCTGCTAATCTATTATTTAAAATTATTTTCAACATCCTTCTGTAGAAAGAATTTTTTATCAATCTCTTCTTTATCGCCGACTGAAAAGCATCCACTGTCATGTAACAGTTCATTATAATTCTCTTTATTTCGAACGAGTTTTTCGTGTTTCTTAATACTTGGCTTAGATTTTGGAAGGCCTCTTTCGCTATCCCAATGTGTCTTTGATTTCAGGTATTTTTTCAAACACATCCCAGATGTTGATTTTGGTATCTCCAATTTGCTTGATTTTGCTATCTTCAATTTGCTTTGTTTTGGTATCACCAATTTTTTGATTTTGATATCTCCAATTTGCTTGATTTTGATATCTACAATTTGCTTGATTTTGATATCTCCAATTTGCTTTGTTTTGATATCTCCAATTTCCTTGATTTTGATATCTCCAATTTGCTTAATTTTGATATCTGCAATTTGCTTGATTTTGATATCTCCAATTTGCTTGATTGAGCTATCTCCAATTTGCTTGATTTTAATGTCTCCAATTTTCCTTGATTTTGGTATCTCCAATTTGCTTGATTTTGGTATCTGCAATTTGCTTGATTTTGATATCTCCAATTTACTTCATTTTGATATCTCAAACTTGCTTGATTTTGATATCTCCAATTTGCTTGATTTTGATATCTCCAATTTGCTTGATTTTGATATCGCCAATTTGCTTTGTTTTGGTATCTGCAATTTGCTTGATTTTGATATCTCCAATTTGATTGATTTTGATATCTCCAATTTACTTCATTTTGATATCTCAAACTTGCTTGATTTTGATATCTCCAATTTGCTTTGTTTTCGTATCTTCAATTTGCTTGATTTTGATATCTACAATTTGCTTGATTTTGACATCTCCAATTTGTAATTTGCATGTCTGGATGTTCCATTTACTGACAACCTTGTATTACATCTTGTAATTGTCGTTTTCCTCTCACTTTCCTTCCCTTCCTTTTGTATAAGTAGGTGTATTGTTCTTTCTGCGTCTGTTGTCAACTCCGTGTCATTAGAAGTACTTATATTGTTAATATTCTGGATGTCAATAATGAACTTTGGTAGGACTTGTAATTCTTTCAAAATCACCTCAAAATATAGGATGAATAAGTCCGGTGAGAAGACACATCTTTGCCTGACAACACTTTTTATTTTTGTATATTTACTGAATTTGTTTTCCATCCCTGTGCAGACGTTCAGCTCTCACTATAGTCTCTGGGTTAGTCTGCTATCTTTCTTTTGTTAAATTGTATTGAGTTGAATATATAAATGACATTAAAATAAAAAATGGCCGATACCTAATGTATGCAACTATTGGTGTATAGAAATTTTTCGAAAGTGCGCCAAAAGGCTAAAATATGTTGAAATATTAATACATTCATTCTTTAAGTTTGCGCATTTTGCGTCACTGTGGTCACCTCTCCCCTCCATCACACAATTGTAATTCAGGGTGACATTCAAGGTAGAATAGCGTAATGACTGCTGTAGTTTCCTCTCTGTGTCTGCTATCAACACTGTGTCACCTCTAGATCTTATGTTAAGTAATGGATCCTTGTAAGACTTGAAATTCTCTCAGAATCGCCTCACACACACACACACACACACACATATATATATATATATATATATATATATATATATATATATATATATGCGGTCGCACGCGAGGACAAACGCACAAATATATACACCTATTATACATGTATTTTTGCGTATGTGTTCGCACGTGTTTTTTTTAATGATGGTTAGTGTTTGCTCATGTTTGTAAATGAGTTAGTGTATATATATATATATATATATATATGTGTGTGTGTGTGTGTGTGTGTGTGTTAGAACAATTAGAACTGAGTAGCGAGTTCGATCCACACTGGGTGCCTCCTACATCCGGTCTTGTGCCACATCTAAGCTACGCTTGGAAAAGGGCGGCCCGAGGTAGTGTAATGGTTTATCAATCTTGTCTTGCTCGAACATTTACGTTTGATTAGTGAGTGCGATTCTCACTGGGTACTCTCTACTTTCGGCTTTGTGCCACATCTAAGCTACGCTTGAAAAATCACTATATATGTGAGTGTGTATGTGTGTGTGCGTGTGTGTTTGCACGCAAGCACAAACCCACACACAAATACACCTATTTATATATGTATTTTTGTTTATGTTTCCTCGTGTTTTTATGTGGGTTATATATATATATATATATATATATATATATATATATATATATATATATATATATATATATGCTCTACTTTTGTGTGTATATATATATATATATATGCTCTACTTTTGTATCGAGCACTATTTTTTAAAAATAATAAAAAAAAATACTAAAGAACTTTGGATTATTTACCTAACGAGTTCTTTCCTATTTTCTATATATTTTTACACACACGCGCACACACACACATACATAAATATACATACATACATATATATATATATATATATATATATATATATATATATATATATATATATATATATATTTCTGTATTTAGACACCAATTCTTCTTTCATACACATTTCATTGAATACGACAGACAAGGTGTTTTTATTTAGCTTTTATACAATTTCTCATGCGATCTAATTTTTTTTTTCTTTCATTTTAAATAGGGCAAATATTATTACGAATTTAAATGCCCATTAAGGAATTGTATTCCTGATCAATCAAAGTTCGTAAATAATTATATAGGCCACACTACAACATGTTTGACATGCAGACTCACTCTACACATTACTGACCATAGCTCAATTAGATCTCATTCAAATATTCATGGAGACCTACCGGACACTATTCGTAACATACTTGTTGACAACACTAATATAATAGCATCATCTACATGGAAAAAAAAAGCTAAGAATAATGGAAGCCTTATTTATAAAAACAAAAAAACAATACTTAATAATATTAACTTTGAACACGGACATAATATCTTGACCGTGTTTCGAAAAATGAAAACGTTTTATAAAACATACATACAACAAAATATTTCTTATTTAAAATATTAGTTATAAATTGTAGTTAAAATATTTAATCATTGAAAATGGCTGAATGTATAGCCGAAAGCGCTCGGATAAAAAGAACATTCGGACAGTTTTAAAAGAATTTATCTTCCGAAAAGAAAAAAAAAAATATTAGAGCGCATGAGAAATTGTATAAAAAAAATTAATAAAAGCACCTTGTCTGTCGTATTCAATGAAATGTCACACACACACACACACATATATATATATATATATATATATATATATATATATATATATATATATATCTATTTATATATGTATATTATAATGAATCATTCATACAAAAAAGTAAATTAGTAAAGTTAATGAGATAAAATGGCGAATTTACTTTGCTAACTAAATTTTTCAAATGTGTTAACCCACTAACCTCCCGTAGAATGTTATGATACCTGTTTTTTTTTTTTTTTTTTTAAATATAAACCATATTAGGTCTTCCTTAAATATGCAATGATTTTCAGGCAATGAAATTATTTTCTTTTTGGTAAAATTCAGGTAGCATCCGAGACAAAAAAAAAATGTATAGAAAATGTAAAGTTTCACATGGTTTTAACCAAGTGACAATTTGTTACAACGACCGTAAAAATAAAAAAATAAAAATATAGCATTTTTTTCATTTTTCGCTCAGAATCTGTTTAATTTGTTTGTTTTTTTTGTTTTTTGTTGCTTTTTTTTGTTGTTTTTTTTTTGTTGTTTTTTTTTTGTTGTTTTTTTTTGGGGGGGGCAAGTCTTTCATACACGCTAAAGAAGAGATGCAGCTTGCATGTGTCTGCTTGTAGTGGGAGCAAGTCGAAATCCAGGATTTTAACTGGAACATAATGTTTTTGCGCATTTAAAAAAAAATTCAGTTGGGATTTTTGCAACAAGTGACAGGAGAGTGTGATTAGTTAATTGAATTTGTGAGAGCCATAATGCTTGTGATGAAAGAAAAGGGCTTCAAAGGAGGGCAATGAAAGATCCTTTCAGCAAAATGTGTCTAAAAAAGAAGAAAATTCAATGTTCTCAAAATTTTCATTATCTTTCAGAATATTCATAGTGGCATAAAATCTCTTTGAAATCAAGTATCATGCTGAAATTTTCAGGATCAACTCCTCTCAGGAATGTTAACAAATGGTAAAATCTGAGGACCTCAGTATATTCAAGAGGCGAAAGGAAACATGCTCGAAATCTTCAAACAATTTCTCTTTCTTTTGCGTCAGATTGCTGAATTGGCTCGATCATTTTTATTTATTTATTCTGTGTTTAGTGATTAATTGATGGACAAATAATTAGCGCAATGTGTGGCAATACGATTAGATGATCCGATTGACAGACAGATAGATAATTAGAGCAATAAATGTCCGTATAATTAGCCAACGAGATTAATTGACAGGCTGATAAATAATTACCGTAATGAGTTGCCGTTTAGATAGACATGGTAATTGACAGGAGAAAAAATAGAGTATTAAACTAATCTAATTATGTAAATAGATAGATAGATAGATAGATAGATAGATAGATAGATAGATAGATAGATAGATGAGAGATATAGATAGGAAGAGAGATAATTTTCAGATTTACACAGAGAGAGAGATCGATAAATAGATGAGAGAGATAGAAAAAGAGAGAGAGAGATATGCATAGATTTTAGAGAGAGAGAGAGAGAGATAGAGAGAGAAAGGCATAAACTGATAAATAGATAGAAGAGAGAGAGAGAGATGGAGAGTCACATTGACATAGATATAAAAATAGATAGATAAAGAGATGCAGAGATAGATAGAGAGATAGATAGAGATAGAGAAAGGACCAGACTGAGAAGATAGATAAATAGATAAAGACGAAGATAGATAGAGGAAACAGAATGGATAGATAGATTTTGATAGATAGATAGATAGATAGGTAAAGAAAGAGATGAGATAGATAGATAGATGGCGATAGATAGATATAGATAGATGCAGACAGATAGATAGATAGATAGATAGATAGATAGATAGATAGATAGATAGATAGATAGAGATAGGAACAGACTGAGATAGATAGATAGATAGATAGATAGATAGATAGATAGATAGATAGATAGATAGGAACAGACTGAGATAGATAGATAGATAGATAGATAGATAGATAGATAGATAGAATAGATAGATAGATAGATAAGAACACTGAGATAGATAGCTATTTAGTATATAACTTGTACTACATTAGAAAATACATGACTTTGTTTAAATACACCACTCTTTTTATTCGTTGAGCCGTGGCCATTCTCCTTCATTACAAACAATTATGACAACATTCAGCGGCCATGTTCGCCTGTGTCGTATTTTGGCGGACTTTCTTTTGAGTTAATTTGATTACGTATGCCAATGTTTGCTTTCATCCAAATAAGTCATCTTGTGCACTTGTGGGCTACAATTTTTACAACGTTAAGAAAAGAAATATTGGGTCTGCATGGTTGTCATTATTGTTATTGCCAGCGCCTATTCTTTTACTAACACTCTTACTACCCGTCAAAAATGAATGGCTATTTACTTAACAGCTTTGATGAAAAGAAAAACACCTACACAATTAGATTTTTTTTAACATTTTCCAAAAGGAAAGAATTTGAGTTCCTACAATAAATGAAAATGGGATTGAGAAAATAGAACGTGTGTTTGTTAACAAAAGAAACATCCCAAGGTGCGTACTGCAAATTGAAATCACTGAAATCAAACAAATACAAAAATGTAAATATCTAGGGAATATTTGAACAAAAGATAGAAAATGAAACACCGAAAACCGATGGAATATCGAATGATGAATTTCAAAAATATAAGAGACCAGACAATTTTTAAATTTCCAAAAAAATAAAGATTCCTGATTGCAGAAGAATAACAAAGACGAATGATAACGTTTCAAAAGTTACTTAAGGCAGTAAAAGAATGGAAGTTGTTGAGAGCCATGATCGCATACATTTTGGAAAGACATGGCATATAACAGGAAGAAGTATATGGGTGTCATAACAGAGAAGAGGGATTGTCAGAAGCTTGTATTAAGTGATTTTTTTTTATTTAAATCCCTCATCGCTTAGTAGAACAAAAACTATTTGCTTTCAATCCCAGAAAAAAAAACAGAATCCGGGGCCTTTCTAAGAAAGACCATATAGTAGGAACTGATATTAAACTACAAGCAAAAACCCTAGCCATAAATAAACTCCAAATCCAAACCGCTTCCCCCGTGATAAGATACCTTAGGCCCCCACCAATCGCTGACACAGACCCACTCTCATTAAGAAAGTATTAAGAAACAGGGGGATTTCGTTAGAAAAAAGAAAAGAGTGATGAACTTTTATGTAATATTAATCCTCCTATATGTCAGTGAATGCTGGACAATCTCCTCATGACTTCCAAAAGTTAAACAAATTATTAAGAAACAGGAAGATTTTGTGAGAAACTAAGAAATGATTGATGAAATTCTATGTAATATCAAACCTCCTATATGTCAGTGAATGCTGGACAATCTCCTCATGTCTTCCAAAAGCTAAACAAAGTATTAAGAAACAGGAAGATTTCGTTAGAAACAAAGAAAAGAGTGATGAACTTCTATGTAATATCAATCCTCCAATATGGCAGTGAATGCTGGACAATCTCCTCATGTCTTCCAAAAGCTAAAGAAAGTATTAAGAAACAGGAAGATTTCGTTAGAAACAAAGAAAAGAGTGATGAACTTCTATGTAATATCAATCCTCCAATATGGCAGTGAATGCTGGACAATCTCCTCATGTCTTCCAAAAGCTAAACAAAGTATTAAGAAACAGGAAGATTTCGTTAGAAACAAAGAAAAGAGTGATGAACTTCTATGTAATATCAATCCTCCAATATGGCAGTGAATGCTGGACAATCTCCTCATGTCTTCCAAAAGCTAAAGAAAGTATTAAGAAACAGGAAGATTTCGTTTGAAACAAAGTAAAGAGTGATGAACTTCTATGTAATATCAATCCTCCTATATGGCAGTGAATGCTGGACAATCTCCTCATGTCTTCCAAAAGCTAAACAATGTATTAAGAAACAGGAAGATTTCGTTAGAAACAAAGAAAAGAGTGATGAACTATGTAATATCAATCCTCCAATATGGCAGTGAATGCTGGACAATGTCCTCATGTCTTCCAAAAGCTAAAGAAAGTATTAAGAAACAAAAAGATTTCGTTAGAAACAAAGAAAAGAGTGATGAACTTCTATGTAATATCAATCCTCCTATATGGCAGTGAATGCTGGACAATCTCCTCATGTCTTCCAAAAGCTAAACAAAGTATTAAGAAACAGGAAGATTTCGTTAGAAACAAAGAAAAGAGTGATGAACTTCTATGTAATATCAATCCTCCAATATGGCAGTGAATGCTGGACAATCTCCTCATGTCTTCCAAAAGCTAAACAAAGTATTAAGAAACAGGAAGATTTCGTTAGAAACAAAGAAAAGAGTGATGAACTTCTATGTAATATCAATCCTCCTATATGGCAGTGAATGATGGACAATCTCCTCATGTCTTCCAAAAGCTAAACAAAGTATTAAGAAACAGGAAGATTTCGTTAGAAACAAAGAAAAGACTGATGAACTTCTATGTAATATCAATCCTCCTATATGGCAGTGAATGCTGGACAATCTCCTCATGTCTTCCAAAAGCTAAACAAAGTATTAAGAAACAGGAAGATTTCGTTAGAAACAAAGAAAAGAGTGATGAACTTCTATGTAATATCAATCCTCCAATATGGCAGTGAATGCTGGACAATCTCCTCATGTCTTCCAAAAGCTAAAAGAAAGTATTAAGAAACAGGAAGATTTCGTTAGAAACAAAGAAAAGAGTGATGAACTTCTATGTAATATCAATCCTCCTATATGGCAGTGAATGCTGGACAATCTCCTCATGTCTTCCAAAAGCTAAACAAAGTATTAAGAAACAGGAAGATTTCGTTAGAAACAAAGAAAAGAGTGATGAACTTCTATGTAATATCAATCCTCCAATATGGCAGTGAATGATGGACAATCTCCTCATGTCTTCCAAAAGCTAAACAAAGTATTAAGAAACAGGAAGATATCGTTAGAAACAAAGAAAAGAGTGATGAACTTCTATGTAATATCAATCCTCCAATATGGCAGTGAATGCTGGACAATCTCCTCATGTCTTCCAAAAGCTAAAGAAAGTATTAAAAAACAGGAAGACTTCGTTAGAAACAAAGAAAAGAGTGATGAACTTCTATGAAATATCAATCCTCCTATATGGCAGTGAATGATGGACAATCTCCTCATGTCTTCCAAAAGCTAAACAAAGTATTAAGAAACAGGAAGATTTCGTTAGAAACAAAGAAAAGAGTGATGAACTTCTATGTAATATCAATCCTCCTATATGGCAGTGAATGCTGGACAATCTCCTCATGTCTTCCAAAAGCTAAATAAAGTATTAAGAAACAAGAAGATTTCGTTAGAAAGAAAGAAAAGAGTGATGAACTTCTATGTAATATCAATCCTCCTATAGGGCATTGAATGCGGAACAATCTCCTCATGTCTTCCAAAAGCTAAACAAAGTATTAAGAAACAGGAAGATTCGTTAGAAACAAAGAAAAGAGTGATGAACTTCTATGTAATATCAATCCTCCAATATGGCAGTGAATGATGGACAATCTCCTCATGTCTTCCAAAAGCTAAAGAAAGTATTAAGAAACAGGAAGATTTCGTTAGAAACAAAGAAAAGAGTGATGAACTTCTATGTAATATCAATCCTCCTATATGGCAGTGAATGATGGACAATCTCCTCATGTCTTCCAAAAGCTAAACAAAGTATTATGAAACAGGAAGATTTCGTTAGAAACAAAGAAAAGAGTGATGAACTTCTATGTAATATCAATCCTCCAATATGGCAGTGAATGCTGGACAATCTCCTCATGTCATTCAAAAGCTAAAGAAAGTATTAAGAAACAGGAAGATTTCGTTAGAAACAAAGAAAAGAGTGATGAACTTCTATGTAATATCAATCCTCCAATATGGCAGTGAATGCTGGACAATCTCCTCATGTCTTCCAAAAGCTAAAGAAAGTATTAAGAAACAGGAAGATTTCGTTAGAAACAAAGAAAAGAGTGATGAACTTCTATGTAATATCAATCCTCCTATATGGCAGTGAATGCTGGACAATCTCCTCATGTCTTCCAAAAGCTAAACAAAGTATTAAGAAACAGGAAGATTTCGTTAGAAACAAAGAAAAGAGTGATGAACTTCTATGTAATATCAATCCTCCAATTTGGCAGTGAATACTGGACAATCTCCTCATGTCTTCAAAAAGCTAAACAAAGCATTAAGAAACAGGAAGATTTCGTTAGAAACAAAGAAAAGAGTGATGAACTTCTATGTAATATCAATCCTCCTATATGGCAGTGAATGCTGGACGATCTCCTCATCTCTTCCAAAAGCTAAACAAAGTATTAAGAAACAGGAAGATTTCGTTAGAAACAAAGAAAAGAGTGATGAACTTCTATGTAATATCAATCCTCCAATATGGCAGTGAATGATGGACAATCTCCTCATGTCTTCCAAAAGCTAAAGAAAGTATTAAGAAACAGGAAGATTTCGTTAGAAACAAAGAAAAGAGTGATGAACTTCTATGTAATATCAATCCTCCTATATGGCAGTGAATGATGGACAATCTCCTCATGTCTTCCAAAAGCTAAACAAAGTATTAAGAAACAGGAAGATTTCGTTAGAAACAAAGAAAAGAGTGATGAACTTCTATGTAATATCAATCCTCCAATATGGCAGTGAATGCTGGACAATCTCCTCATGTCATTCAAAAGCTAAAGAAAGTATTAAGAAACAGGAAGATTTCGTTAGAAACAAAGAAAAGAGTGATGAACTTCTATGTAATATCAATCCTCCAATATGGCAGTGAATGCTGGACAATCTCCTCATGTCTTCCAAAAGCTAAAGAATGTATTAAGAAACAGGAAGATTTCGTTAGAAACAAAGAAAAGAGTGATGAACTTCTATGTAATATCAATCCTCCTATATGGCAGTGAATGCTGGACAATCTCCTCATGTCTTCCAAAAGCTAAACAAAGTATTAAGAAACAGGAAGATTTCGTTAGAAACAAAGAAAAGAGTGATGAACTTCTATGTAATATCAATCCTCCTATATGGCAGTGAATGCTGGACAATCTCCTCATGTCTTCCAAAAGCTAAACAAAGTATTAAGAAACAGGAAGATTTCGTTAGAAACAAAGAAAAGAGTGATGAACTTCTATGTAATATCAATCCTCCTATATGGCAGTGAATGCTGGACAATCTCCTCATGTCTTCCCAAAGCTAAATAAAATATTAAGAAACAGGAAGATTTCGTTAGAAATAAGGAAAAGAGTGATGAACTTCTATGTAATATCAATCCTCCTATATGGCAGTGAATGCTGGACAATCTCCTCATGTCTTTCAAAAGCTAAACAAAGTATTAAGAAACAGAAAGATTTCGTTAGAAACAAAGAAAAGAGTGATGAACTTCTATGTAATATCAAACCTCTTATATGACAGTTAATGCTGGAAAATCTCTTCATGTCTTCCAAAAGCTAAACTAAATATTTAGAAACACGAAGAATGTTATATCCCGTACTTATAAAGACTAATGTGTATGTCCCAATCCTCATAAATACATTTTGACACTATTGTAAGTGGGGGTAATATTCTGTCTAAGTCGTCCACCAATAGCAGTGGTTTGCCTACTTCATACCGCTGGCGAGTATTGTATTTTGTTTATGTTATAAAGATTACCATTTCATTTCCAAACTACGTTTTGGTTATTCCTCATTCAGTAACCGTTCTAATGTTACTTTTATGGTAATTTACCCACGCACGTATGAACTCTCCCAGCTATAAATAAGAGCAGGAACTGCCTTTTGGAGGGTTAAGTTTCCAGCAGTCAGCTCTGACAGTCGGACCGAACATTTTTACTGTAACACACTTGTTTGTATAATTTTGTTTACTGTTTCTGTTAATATATTTGTTTAATTCAAGTCCTCTCTTTGTGTCTTTATTTCTGGTCGTAACAATGCCACAGCAGTTACAACAGACAATAAAAGACAGGACGCTGTGGACAGCTATGATCACCTATATTTTGGAAGGGCATATTTTATAACAGAAAGAATCATAATGTCAGAACATTGACAAAGAGGGGTTGTAAAGGATCAAACGTTACTTAAGGGAATAAAAGACAAGAAGTTGTGGAGAAACATGATCACCTATATTTTAAAAGGACATGTCATATAACCAGAAGAAGCATATAGATGGCACAACAGCGAAGTAAAGTTATTGTCATGAGGCAAAATTTACTTCGAGCAACAAAAGATAGGAGGTTGTGGATAGAAATACTTGTCAACGTCCTTGAAAGGACATGTCATGTAATAGAAAGAAGTAGAATATGGATGTCAAAATAAGGTCAGAGGTAGATAGCAAAAGGTCAACTGTTACTTAAAACAAATAGACAGGAAGTTGTAATAAAGCCATGTTTACCTATGTTTCTAAAGGACATCGCATATGAAAGAAGAAACGTACGGGTTGCTGAATTAGGATGTAGACGGATGTGAAAGGCTCAAAAGTTACTCAGAGCAAAAAGTGAAGTTGTGGAGAGCCATTATCATCGCGATCTAAAGATACATGGTATATGAAGGCAAAAGAAATCTTCATCAAAGAAGTGTAGAGGGTGGGTGGAAGAGAGTGTTTAGAAAAATGGGTAATAGTTGCCATAACGAGTTATCAGGTATCTTGTGAGGTTTACATTGCAGATGTATCACCTGTGGGTGGACAATGCACACACGACGAGGGCGACAAAATGGACAATAAATTTCTTTTAATTAAAACAGTAGAGATCCGTGTCTACTGTTGTTTCCATATTTCTGCTCTGTAAGCAATTTTCGATTGAACTGGGGACAACAAGTTTGACTTTGTTATTCAAAGTTAACCAACTAAAGTTTGCATAGACACGCATTAATTTAGAACTTGGGCATGTGCGAATTGTTAAGAAAATCAAGGGAAAGAGAGACAATAATAAAGAGGATTGAGGAAAGAGAGAAAGGGAGAAAAAGAAGAAGAAGAAGAAGAAGAAGAAAGAAGTAGAAGAAGACGAAAAAGAAGAAGAAAGGAGAAAGTAGTAGTAGTAGTAGAAAAAGAAGAAGAAGAAAAAGAAGAAGAAGAATAACAGCAACAACAGAAGGAGAAAGATGTAAAAGAAGAAAAAAGAAAAAGAAGAACAAGAAAAGGAAAAAGAAGTAGTAGAAGAAGAAAAGCAGAAAGAGAAGAAGAAGAAGGGAAAGAGAAAGACGTAGAAGTAGTAGTAGTAAGAGGAGGAGGAAGAAGAAGAAGAAAAGGATAAAGTAGTAGTAGTAGAGGAAGGAAAAGAAATGAGAATGTAGTACAAGAAGAGGAAAAAGAAGAAGAAGAAGAAAGGCAGAAAGACGTAGAACAAAAAGTAGTAGTAGCAGTAGTAGTAGAAGAAGAGGGAGAAGAAGAAGAAAAGGAGAAAGACATAGAAGAAGAAGTAGGAGGAGGAGGAAGAAAAAGAAGACGAAGAAGAAAAAGAAGAAGAAAAAAGGAGAAAGAAGTAGAAGAAGAAAAGCAGAAAGACGTAGCACAAGAAGTAGTAGAGGTAGTAATAGTAGTGGAAGAAGAAGGCGAAGAAGAAGAAGAAAACGAGAAAGAAAAGAAGAAGAAGGGAAGGAGAAAGACGTAGAAGTAGTAGTAAGAGGAGGAGAAAGAAAAAGAAGAAGAAAAGGATAAAGTTGTAGCAGTAGTAGTACTAGAAGAAGAAGAAGAAGAAGAAGAAGAAATGAGAATGTAGTAGTAGAAGAAGAAGAAGAAGAGGAAAAGCAGAAAGACGTAGAACAAGAAGTAGTAGTAGTAGCGGCAATAGTAGTAGAAGAAGAAGAGGGAGAAGAAGAAGAAAAGGAGAAAGACATAGAAGAAGAAGTAGTAGGAGGAGGAAGAAGAAGAAAAAGAAGAAGAAAGCAGAAAGACGTAGCACAAGAAGTAGTAATGGTAGTAATAGTAGTTGAAGAAGAAGGCGAAGAAGATGAAGAAAAGGAGAAAGAAGTAGAAGAAAGCAAGAGGAAGTTGGTTAGAACAAGGAATGAGAAAAGAAAGAGAAAGTCCGACTCATGAGTAAAAAAATAGTAAAAAAGAAATTGTAGAAGAAGAAGATAAGAAAGAAAATGAAAAATGACGATAACATTTTAGAGGCAATAAAAGACTCGTAGAAAGTGCAAGAAGTTAAAACAAAAAGGAATACTTGACGACAATAAAAGAGTTGTAGAATATAATTTGTAAAATTCTTTTAAAGCAAGTTGAAGTTTAAAAGAATAAAAATTACCTCGCACAAGAACAACAACATCAAAAAAACCTCAAAAATTAACGACGCACTAAGAACGAGAAACATGCTATCAAAAGAAATTCAAATAAATAACCTAAATAGGATGTTTTCTACTGGTTATGGCAATATACCACCAGCCATTTTAGACAACGTACAATCTCGAATATTTTAAGACTCTAGTAAACACCATTTTCATAAAAATAATAAAACAAACGAACAACTTGACGCCATTAATATGTCTGTCCACTCCACAACAAATCGTTACAGGAAAAGCACCAATGACCACTGAAAGTAAATAAAAAATAATAGTGGGAACATGTTACATGTTCTTTCGAATAAGACTGCTTGCTTTCGTGCGATGACATCGAAGAATTATTCAATAAAAATGTTTCATAAGCTCACTAAAAACATAGTCCTTCAGCGAACCGATCAACAACCAATGGAAATCAGTTTTCAGGAAAAGAATTTTAAAAAAAAAGCAGAAAAGAACATTCTTTTACAGCACTTAAACTAGTCATGGGCAACCTTTATCTAACAATGAGTAAATAGTAAGAGGGTCCGAATTACTAAAATAAAATCAAGCTAATTTCTCATTAAAGAAATGGCCGATATTTTCACAACAAAAGGTCATTAGTATAAACACACTCCTTAGAAATGGAGTAAAGTCGTTTCTTTTTTCTTTGAATTCCTTATATAATTAAAAAAAAAAAAAAAAACATTGGCATAATTTTGTCACTGGTGACAGCATCGTCGGTGAAAAGGTTTCTTGTACCCGACCGAAACTGTGATACCGTAAAATAATGATACAACCCCTCACTCTATTAAATCACAATTTCAAGTGTTCAGTCGTAGCAGTATAATATATAAAATTCAAGAAATATTATACACCCTTATGCAAATTAATTGAAACAAAACGAATGATTCCGTTATTATTTACATTTTTTCGTATTTTTCCAATGAAACAAAACCCATGTTGGTACTTTGTATGCCCATTCTACGAAATCTTTCCTTGCAGATTAACCACAGAGTCTCGATTTGTCTTAAATCAGGAGAGATTCCGTGCCAGTCTATAGTACTTTGATTTGTTCCCTGGTAAGGCTTGCTAGTGTGTTTGTGCAGCGTTACAATTTTCGTACGCTTCCCATCGCGGGATGTGGCCGTAGAACAACTAATCGACAATCGAGACAATAGTGTCTGGTCTGATGAAAATCTGATGCAATCACAAATGAGGAAAATATTTTTTACGGCCAATCAAATTTCATCATACACCCCTAAAATAGATTCATATTACTGCACACCACTGCAAATGACCTAATCTGAGGAAAAATAAAAATCGAATACACCCTGTAACTTTAGTTGGTCTAAAACTGACCGTATGGCGAAAGAAAAGAAACTAAAGCGGTTGCTTCAATTCAATTGCACAAGGGTGTAATTAATCTTTATTTATGTATGTGGTGAATTAGGAAGAAATGATAACAAAAGGAAAGAAACAACAGATTAATTAGGAAAACCAGTCGGGCCGCAGTTTACCCATGACTGACTTAAACGAACAAACTAATCCAGAGTTATTTTGTTCTGGGTATGACGATAAACTACATCCGACAGCAAGACCTCTGATCGGGAGATTGGAGGTTTTGAAGAGAGCGAAACGATTTCTTAAGTGCTTTTGTTCCCCGGTCCTCCCTGCCCGGGGTGGTAGCACCTGTTAGGGTCCTAGCTTTGGCCAAGTTGTTAAACCTCAATGTGGAGTCGAAGCACTATGAAAGTAGAAATACGTTTTGTTTTTTGTTGTTGTTGTTGTTGTAGAGATACCAACAGTGCATTTTTTAAAAAAATAAATATTACCAGCAATAGATTTTTGAAAATAAAATATTACCAGCAATACATTTTTGAAAAAGAACAAAAAATATTACTAGCCATACATTTAAAATATATTACCAGCAATACATATTTGAAAAAAATAAAAAACCCTCTTTACCAAAATATGTCAATGAAACCTCATCTACAAACTGAATGCTTACAAAGAATACATATATACGAACCTATACTAAAAATCTTGTTGGCATTAAATAACCCATTGAGGTGTTGATATACCGTAAAACAAAATAAACGAAACCAAAATGTCACCAAAAACTCTCTTCCGGAAAATACATCAATTAAATTTGATCTAAAAATTGATTTCTTACAATTACATATTCTATTCATACAAATGTATCTTGTCGGCATTAAATAACCCACTGAGGTGTTGATATGCCGTAGAAGAAATTAAACCAAACCAAACCAGATTTTCTGTAAACCCACATTACTAAAATAAGTCAATGAAATCTGATCTACAAACTGATTTTCTTAACATATTCTCTTCATACGAATCTCCAGTAAAATTCATGTCGCCATTAAATAATCCATTGTGTTTGATATGCCGTAAAACAAAATAAACCAAATCAATCTAAACCAAAGAATACATATTCTATTCATACAAATCTATCCTAAAGCTCTTTTCGGCATTAAATTACCCATTTAGGTGTTGATATGCCGTAAAACAATATAAACCAAATCAAAATCTCGACAAAAACCCTCTTCTGAAAAATACTTCAATGAAATCTGATATAAGAATTGATTTCTTGCAAATACATATTCTATTCATACAAATGTATCTTGGCATTAAATAACCCATTGAGGTTTTGATATGCCGTAAAAGAAAAAAAACAAACCAGATTATCTGCAAACCCTTATTACCAAATTACATCAATGGAACCTGACTATAAACTGATTACTTACAAAGAATACGCATTCTAAAGTAACTAATCTTGTCGCCATTGAATAATTCATATGAGACTGATACCAAATAAACCAAACCAGAGTTATTTATGTTGGGAAGATTTCATAATTTGGGTCATTCAGCTATCGACACGTTTTTTTTTTATAGACATTTTAAAACTATTTTGTACCCTTTTCTCTGAAGCACATCTACAGAAGTTCCCTTAAAAATATGAATAAACAATATTTCGTTTATTAAACAGTGAAAGCATTCCTTTCCTTTTGAAATTTCACTTTTGTCTATAGTAATAGTCCCCCCACCAATACAAGGCACAATATCAACTCAAGCTGGTAGGTTATAATATATTGTTGTATAAGCGTATGTTAAAAAACAAGAGTGAAGCTCGTGTTGTTATGTAGGAAAGATAACGTTTAAACTTAGATTTGAAGAAGTCAAGATTGTTGTGCTCGCGAAAACATTCTACTAGTTATATATTCCACAAAGTAGTTGTTCTTGGGAAGATGCCCGAGTGGAGCTTATATCTCAGGAGTGGAATACGAAGGGGCTGACGATGATTCATCCTCGTGTACGAGGTACGGCAGATCCCAGCTGCAAATGTCAGGAAAATGTACCTCGACAAGAGACTTGCCGTAAAAACAGCATGAGAACTGTTATATTGCAATTTTCTATAGCCAGAAAATATATAGAGATTGTAAGATTTTCTTCTTATTATTACTTTTGATTTCTGCTGTATACAATTTTTCTTCCGGGTCCCAACCAGAGACATAATGTTAGAATGTTATTTTTATTTTCTTTGATTTCTGGCGTTTGCACATTTCTTTCCGGGTCCCGCCCGAGGACCTAAGGTTAGAAATGGCATCATGACACTTTCCACTGACAAAAAAACAAAAAAATATTACATAGTTAAAGCCTTTCATAAAGTGTGGGCTGTACTTGTCAGAACTATTATTATTATTATTATTATTATTATTATTATTATTATTATTATTTCTTTCCGTTTCTGTTGTGTACACATTTTTTTCCGAGTCCTAACCAGTGACCTAAGGTCAGAAATAGCTTTATGACATTTTCTGATGATCATTTTATTTAAAAAAAAAAGAAAGAAAAAGCTAAGATCTTCGTAAAATGTATGCTCTACTTTCAGCACAATCTTTTGTATTTTCTTAAGGCATGGGCTACCAAGTACCCTTCAATTAATCTATTGGGACCTTATTATTATTATTATTATTATTATTATTATTATTATTATTATTATTACTGTTATTATTTCTTTGCGTACACACATTTCGTTCCGAAGCCAACCAGAGATCTAAGGACTGAAACATATTTATGACATTTTCCTAAGCTAAGAAGGCCGATTTGTAGTAACGGTTTCCCAGGTCTTCGGGTCGATGGTGGTCAAGATAAAATATATTGTTAGTCATTTCACTATAAAATGTACAGTACATTTTATAGTGAAATTACCAACAATATTTTTTATCTTTGAGTCATAGAAATGCCTTCAAAATATACATAGTTGAAGCCATAAAATTGTATTAAAAATTGAGCGTCGAGAAAGAAAGAAAGAAAGAAAGAAAGAAAGAAGGAAGGAAGGAAGGAAGGAAATAAGTAAATAACAAAAAAAAAAAAAAGATCTCCCACATTTTACATGATAAAACTCTTCGTAATGTGTGTGTTGTGCCTTTGAGTACAAACTTTTCGATTTCTTTAATGCATGGACTACCAGGAATCCTTCAATTAGTCTATCGGGACATTATTATTATTATTATTATTATTATTATTATTATTATTTATTTCTGGCGTTTACACATTTCTTTCCGGCTCCTGCCCAGGGATCTAAGGTTAGAAATGGCATCATGTCACTTTCCCCCAAAAAATATTACATAGTTAAAGCCCTTCGTAAAGTGTGGGCTGTACTTGTGAGAACAATTTTTTGTATCACTTTGAGGCATAGACTTCCAGGAATCCCTTCAATTAGTCTACTGCAATCTTTTCCAACCAGTCCTAGGGCTCCAACTACAACAGGGATTCTTGATGTTCCCATATGCCACATTTTCGAGATTTCTATTTGAAGGTCCTTGTATTTTGACAGCTTTTTGGATATCTTCAAAGATACATTGCAGTCAGCAGGGACTGCCATATCAATAAGGAGACACTTTTTTGTTATTATTATTATTATTATTATTATCTTGTGTTTCTGCTGTGTACACATTTCCTTCCAATTCCTAACAAGAAACTTAAAGTTAGAAATGGCTTCATGACAGTTTCCTCTGATAATTTTTGTAAAAAAAAACAAAAAAAAAAACTACTAAGATCCTCCCCATTTTATATTTGTAGCTGTACTTGTGAGTAATTTTCTTTTTGTATTTCTTTAAGGTATAGGGCTATCAGGAATCCCTTCAATGTGTCTATCGAAACCTTTTCCAATCAATCCGAGTGCTCCAACTACAAC